GGTGTATATAAGATGGTCACGGCGTGACAATGTGTGTAGGTAGTGAGTAATTGATCCGCAGTCAGAGAGTATTGTTGAAGTTAACGTTCGTTATAGCATTTGTTTTAGCGCGAATGTTGAAATTAAGTGTATCGTAAAGTTATATTCAGAAAGAATAAACCAGTTTTATTAAGTAAGGACTTGTGTCGCTAAAGCTTCGTCGGAACGAAGTTACGAAAAATCAATTAACAAACGGAGACGTAACAATGCATTTATAGACCACATTTTGAGCATTGTATACCTAATACCACTTAACACCTATAAATAACTTAAGGCTATAATAAGGGAAGTGTGATCATTAGTGGAATAGCAAATCTCCTTTCAATACCATAAGTTGAATGATGTAAATTTTATTTATCATTTGCCTCTTGCTTTCATTATCAATTTCCAAAGCAGTTAGGGGCAATAAGCATATTTTCTAAGTACATTTAAACTGCAATAGTAAATTCCTTACCCAAAGTAGCAATACTAAGTTAACTCTCTATACAAAAATAGTATAGGCATTGTTTACAAATGAAAAATACATGCCAAGTCTATCTGAAAGTAAAAATGGTAAAAACATACTTGAAATTCATAAAATCCCAAGCTGGTTTTTCTATATCATTTTCCAGTTTTTCAATCAGTGACTCCATTTTTTTTGTAACAAACTGTCTTGTATTTTCATAAAACTGTAGCTTCTGTAAACCTTTGAAAGGAATATTTTTACCTTGGATCTTCATTACAAATGAGATAAAATCTGAAAAACAAGTTTGTTTTTTTATGAGCGAAATGTTTGTCATAAACTTTTAAACAACACTTTCTCAGAACAAATGTTTCAGAGGATGACACATAATTAAACTTAGAGTATTAAACCAGGTTATAACATATATATACAAAGGTTTTCATATGTAAACTTCAAATAAATGAAAGTTACCTCTAAAAGTTTTGCATAAGAAATTTTGCAGGATGAAAAATATAATATTCACTTTTAAAAATCCTTGGCATAGAAATATTTAATTTTTTTTCAATCAGTTTCCTGCAAATATATGATGGTTTGATTTCTCAAGAATCAAATGATGCATTAGAAAAAGTTATGCTTTATTTACCTGGGACTTTTTAAATACTGTTTGATATTTTTATATTTAACATTTAAACATTTATCTACAATAACTAAAAATACTGTATGTTTGCATTGTAAATAGTACCTTAAAACATTTATTATTTTATAATATCTAAATGTTAGCTATACTGAACACTAGGTTATATACTACATTATTAATATGATTTTTAATAAGCTTGTTTCAAAAAAATCTTACCTGAAAAATACACAGAAGCAGGTGATGACATGACTGGTTTAGGAAAACCAGGAAACCATACACCGCATACATATTCTCCTTGCCTTGTTTTTACACTTCCAAACCATTTAGTATGGTCGACAACACTAGTTGGAAGAATAGCCAAGGAATTGTATTCAATGTAAAGTCCATTTTTCATCCACACATACGTTACATTATAATTATTGCGTGTCATCCTACATCTCAAATACTTGTTGAAACTTTCATTTTGCAAAAAGGAAGCCATCTCCAAATGATAAGTTTCATAATCTGGCTGGATGAAGACTTTCACATCTACAAAATATAGTTTAAAAAAATTCCTATTTTCATCACTCTCCTGACTCAATAGTGCATTTCAAAAATCAGAACGTTCTTAAATGATGAGAAAACCTTCAGCCGTATACTTAAAGAGCATTCATTAAACAATTTTTCTTTCTCAACAGATAAATATTAAGATGCAATGATTTACTTCATTTTGATATATCAGCTTTCTCTTAACAAATGTCATTCTCACATATATTTCCTCAATGTAATAGAATAACATCAGTAACAAAATAGAAAATCATCATCTGTTATTAATGTATTTTGAAATATTACAGGGAAAATAATGCTGCAGAGTTTTCATATTAACTGGTTTAACCAGAATCTCTAGTATCAATCTTACTTTTTTCATTACAATAATATTTTCAGAGATTTCAATGAACCCTTGAGGTAGCCATCTATACTTTCAGTAAGTTAGATAGATTTGTTTAACAGACACATTTGTTTGCTTTGAATCAAATGAATACAAAAAAATGGGGTAACATTTAATTCTGGTTACAGAACAACAGGAAGAAAAACTTTAAATATATTCCTATTGGTTAGAAACATAATATGCAAATACCACCTAGTTTGCTCTACCATAGTACACATTTCATATGAACAAAAATTTTAAATTTTTCTAAGTTCTGATTTAAAACATACTAAATTCAGTGTGGTGTGTCACATTCAATTCAAAGTGTTACTTTCCACAGCAGGATCTGATCATGGAAGTTACCTACTGTTTCACAGAATAGTTTACTTTGCATACAGTCTGATACAGAGGAATACAGTCTGATACAATTGCATGAAGCAGAGATATTTTCCAAGTTACTGTGACCCAGTTTTCTGATTGTTCAACTACAGAGAGATGGTGAATCATGACTGCAATTTAGTTTTGGCAAATTAATTTCTCTTCTGAAAGAGTCAAGTCTTGATTGTAAAGTCTTGTCTTTGTTTACTGTACTCTCAAATCTGGGCAACTTTAGTGGTATTAAGATGGTAAGTAAAGACAAGTTGTATTTTAGAATTTGTGGGTTTAAGTTTAGGGAAGGCATATTCTTGAGTTACAGAAATGTTTCATATGGATGGGAAAAGTGGTAGCAGAGATATCTATGGGGATCAGTAGGTTTTTAATGATGTAGAATAATTATGGTATGAAAAAAAAGTAAGTCTGATGAGGAAACTGTCCATACAAAGTTCAGCATGGAATGGAATATGGAAACAACTGTAAAAAAGTTTTTCAGTTCACACACAGGTGTATTAGCTATACTAACAGTGCCATTATTATTCCATTTGTAAAGAGCTGAAAGTGTTCCTTTGATAAAAAGAAAAAAGAATGAGTAGATTGAAGGGTCAAGAACACATTCTTAAGCTAAAACAGAACAAAGAAAGGTATGATAAATAAAATGCACACACACACAAAATTAAATTGATTAGTTGGGTAAAATTAGAAGAAATAAAAATCCCTAAAAAAAGACTGTAAATTAGTGTAATAGCATATTTACACTAGTATAATAGCATAATAGTATATACAGTATAATAGCATAGTCTGTTAACTATACAGACAAAGTGAAAAATATGTAGAACATGAGTAAAAACAACAAATGGTTAGATATACAAACAATTAGAAAATGAATGCATGCAGTGAATGATATTGTCTAGTGTAGTACGAAAATGAAAAATATGGAAATTGAAAATAATATCATGGACAAAAATACAATAAATTTGTGATGTAAATATTAAACAAGTAAATATAAAAGCAACAAATCTGGTTTAAATAAAATACTTTTTATTTTAGTGGTTGAGTAATTGTATAAGAAAAAAATGCATTCATTGAACAAAACTGTTAATGTTAAGCAAACCAAAAAGCATTATGAGAAAGATATGTCCACTTTCTTTTTTAAGTTTTCAGTGGTGACTGAAGGACAGAAACCATTTCCAAGAAAGATGACAAACAACTTCAGATAAATGTTTTTTTATCTGACATTTTATAGATTTGTGATGACTTTCTTGACAGGAAAATTTAAGGAATCTCTTTTGATTCAATCCAAACATCCTTCTATTAACAGGTAAAATGTCTGGTCCTTGTAAAACTAATATTATTTCATGTAAGGTTAGATACCTTTTTTTTTGTGTGTGATCAGCAACTCTAACCTGTATAACAATACTCTAAGCACTTCACAGTGCACTGTTTTATTATATTGTTGTAGTTTTATATACTCTTTGGTCACTATAACTTAAAATCAGTTTTGTAACCTGTGACATTCATGTCAGGTTGAATAAAAAAGATTTATCTCAGATTGACATCTTCATTGAAAAGAGATCCACTTTCCTTTATACCTGATCTATACCTTCTCATAAAGATCTGTAGTTTGCTGAACAATTTTGTTCCATGAATGCATCCTTTTTCTCAATCACTAGCCCGACCATAAAGTCTTCCGAGAACTTATGACTTAAAGTAAAAAAAAATTTTATAAAATACATTTAACACAATATCACATTTCAATAAAAGACCCAAGTGTAAAATCAATAAACATATATTTAAAACTACTTACCTGTTTTTAAAGTACTACTAATGCAAATATAGCCATGCTTTAATTTACATTCTTCATACAGTATCTTTTTTTATAGCCCATATAAACAGTACAAAGACCATTCACACCTTCTGAAGATTGCAGCCAAAAGTCTCCTGATGAAAAAAAAAAAGAATAATGCAAACCTAAACAAAGATCTTAACTAGTGAATTAAGAATTAAAATTTTCTAGATGGGTTTTATGTAGTGACATAGATTGTATCCATTGAATAAGGACACCTCTACCAACTTAACATATTGAAATGTTCTCACATTAAGACATAATTGTACTGTGAAGAAAACATGGTCAAATAAATGGTTAGATGTATGATTAAAATATTCATATGTCAAACAGTTTGGTTAAGGGCAGTACACATATGGTTATCCTCTTAAATATATTAAGTTGAAAGTACAATAAATATTTATTCTGGATACAAGTGAAGAGATATTTCTAGTTATTATTGTAAGTCACTCAGAATAATTGATTTCACAGATAATTAACACCACACCCTTGGGTCATACCATTAAGAGCAGATAGATAAGGTAAAAATTGATAGGATAAATGGAGAATAAGATAACTTAGGGATCTAACACTATAAAAAGTTATTAATCAAGGAGATGTCAGATTAAACATTCTAAAGACTGAGAATGTGAGAAAAGTGCCAAATGGCAATCAACATGAGCTCTGTACATTATATATCCATGAGGAAAACTAGTCTAGTCTGGTGGAACTAAAATTAGAATACTATATAATAATTCATTATACAAGAAAAAAGCTAGTCAATTAGTTGAAGTTTGCCTTAACTCAAGTCTTTCTTCTGCTAGAGATTTTTTACCGACTTAATTTCAGAACTTCTCATACCATAAGTAATCACAATGGAACAAAATTCAGTTCTTCTTTAAATAAACTACCAATAACTGACACTTGTTGAATTCAATTAACAATGTTATAAGGAAGTGCAAGATTGAGTAAAAGTAATAAAGTTTGATGGTTAAAGATGTACTAATGAGCAGAAGTAACAAAGATTCAAAATGTTTTTAAGAATTAAGGAGCAATAAGTTTTAAAAGTTGAGTTGAGCACTAGGTGAAATCCTAGAGGTTGTGGTAACAGATGCTGACCTATCATACATAAATCAATTGCTTTGCAGGAGGTAGAAGAGAGTTCCTTAACTAATGTTACCAGTGGCCTTCTATAGTCTTACTGATTCCTCATCTTATACTTTTCTTAGCTACTACATACATTACTTTGTTTTCCAGCAGTCTCACTCCCCTTGGAAATTAATGAAAACCTTCCACAATTGCCACTTTCACTTTACTATGGCAGAGGAGGTTGATGTCCTGTCAGTAGAGTTTTGCTGGATTTGATAAATAGCTTCCCCTGCGAGCTTGTCAGCTTCCTTGTTTGGCTTTACTCTTGCATGGCTTGGCACATACATCCAGGTGATGGTCTTACCATGAAGCTGCTTTTCTTTTTGCCATCCATCTTGGGACCAACTGCTCTAAATTTTTTGCAGTCATGTCACAAATATCATGTAGGTGGCACTGTCTATTTGTAGTATATTACTTTGTGCAATCAAGAGGAGAGCTTCCTTTATGGTTCCCTTCTCCGTCCTCATGCTTCACAAGCTTTATGCAAAAATGTTATTATTCTACGAGATGCTGATTCCCAACGAGCTGTCTCACTATCTTCATTTTATGAACCATTTCTGGCTATGATGACAGGTGACTGTCTACCATGGTCTTTAAATAGGTGCTGATAGGTTTTTTTTCTGCTTCACTTGTCTAAACTGATTTCCACAAATCTAAGTGGTGTCAGATGTTTGTTCTGTATAGGTAAATCTGAGTTTTGGTGGTAACAATTTATCTCAGTAGTAGATGTATAGCATAAATATCTCTTGAAGCTCCTTTTAGTATCTTGGTTAGTATCTTCAAGGTCACTGTGGAGCTAGAATGCCTCAACTGAAAAGGGCAGTATCTTATATAAGGAATGCATGGTGGTCTTTAACCATAAGACCCAAGTAAACAATTTTGTTTGTAAGCACTATTAGTGTTCTCCAATTCTTCTGAGCCTTGTGAGGTGTAATAGGTTTTTAATGGGGTGCCTGAAGTTCATCCTATGATCAGTCTTAAACATGTGTTTTGAATCTTTTCAATCAGTCTTTTCTAGCTCTGTAACACTCATACTGATCATCATTAGAGCATAATATAGGATGAAGTGGATAAGATTTTGGTAGGGCATAAGCTGGTGACAGACTTCAGTTCTGTTTTCTGTTACAAATTTCAATGCATTGATGCTTTTGGTAGCTCTGGTTAACGTGGTGTTAATTTGGCTGGTAAAGTTGAGTTGTTTGTCAAAGGTTATCCCCAGATACTTCAGTGCTTCCTCCAGAATGATGGTAGTATCCGCAAGGATAGTG